TTTTTTTTTGCCTGTCTATGAAGGCAAAAACTGTAATAAACGGCGATGAATCATTTTAGACATTAACCACCGTATCAACTTTAATTGTAGCTATAAAAAATTAGATAAGCTTTTACACAAAAAAAAAGGAAAGAAAAAACAAGGAAGCAATGTGAGTAACAAAGAGAAATATGGAAGTTTCAAAATTGCTGGCATACCTACTGCACAAAAAGCGGCGCCTGCCCGTTGTATCATAGTCCCAAGTTCATCTCGAACGAATATCTTAAAATAGACATTTTTTGAGACGATTTTTTATGTAAACCTTATTAGTAAACTGTATTTTGCAAGTAAGAGCAGCTACGAATAAGTCAACTGCGTTGACTTTTAAGGTAAAATCAACTTTTAGTTTTCACCTCCAACTGGCTTCTATTTTTCAACGTTACTTTGCGCTATAAGACTTAATAGAACTATCGTTTCGCGCTGCATTTTATTGTTTTTATTTCTGCTCAATAATTATCTTTTTCAGAGCTTTCTGATGATACTTTGATACCAGTACTATGAGAGCAAACTGTAATTTTAAAAAAACTAAAACCTAACTGGTCACTTTTCCAAAAATTTTTTGGTGTAAAAGCTAATAGAAGCCAAGTGCTTTGTTAGTCAAAGCTTACAGTAAAGTAAAGCATTTCATTGGGGAAGTTGCATGTCATCGGAGCGAAATAGAGTGTGTAGTCACATTCAAGTCGCCAAATTCCATTACTAAAACAAAATTTATTAGAGAAAAAAACATTTCTTACTCCTAAAGCCTATATTTTTTGGCTGTCTTTTATAAATTTCAGATATTTTAATAAGTGGAAGTTTAATTCACAAAAAATTAGAATAACAGAGTACACAATGGCAAAAAAGTTTAGTTCAAACTAAAAAAAATTTTGATCATAATATCTATTTGATAAATTATAAATTACAGTTGTAGATAACTAGCAAAAATTACCTAGCAAAAACATTTTCTCTTCCGGTTTCTGACTGCTTGTAAACAAGCAATTCTGCAAAAACTTTAGACGGCTCCAAGAGATTGTAGTTGTTTATATGAGCGACCAGACTCATTGCTTCGCCTAAAAAATAGAATTGAGTGAGCGTAAGACTAAATCAAACAATAAAAATTTTTTAACTGTGTTTTTAAAAACTAACCTGCAACAGGCTGCAAATAAGGACCGTCCCAAATAAGGCCAGGTGTAAATCCCCAAAACAGATCATACTCATATTGTTGTCTAGAACTGCTTTGTGTCGAGTAGATTCGATAGCTGCATTCTGTGTTTGGCGAAGTGCTAACTAGTGAAAACATGTATTGTCCAAGTTCCGGTTTTAAAATCCTCCTAAAACTTATTCTG